AGTAGCAGCAGTCGTCGTCGTGGTTGTTGTGGTGGTGGCGGTGAGACCAGCCGTAGTTGTATTGTTGCTGATAACCGTAATGGCTATGCTTGTCACGATCTCCCACCTGGATGGAAAAGAACAACCAGCTGTGGAGCCTCCAGCTCCTCCGAAGAAGCTGGAAGAATGAAGGAAAGACGCGACATTTAGGGCTCAGGCTCCGAAATCCCATACGAAAAGGCTTTCAAATTTAAAAAGCTGTTCGTTGCAGTCAGACACCCGGGTGTTATCGGATCGTTTCGGGCCGTGTGAGGCGGGCTGTACATTTTGAAACTTTGGCTCGCTCTGGCCGTCAGCATAGATTGACCTCCCCTCCGGGACTTACCCGGCCGATTTCTGCCTTAGATCGACTCAAGTGCTGGGTTTAGGACTCTGAGGACATTCAGGGTATCAGGCGGTATCAGGGCTGACGCTCAAGACTCTCGGAATCTTGGCGGGGTTGAAATTCCGACGTCAAATGCCCGTGACTAATTCGTTTGAGACAGCTCTGGACCCGGCAAGCCTCGAAGACTGACTCACAGACTTTCCACCAGAATCCTCAAATCCTCGGCCTTCGCCAAGCAATCAAAATGCTATGCCATGCCGGCCTGAGCATGGATCAGGAAGCGCTGGTAGGTTTGTGGGAAAACGGACCTCAGGCTTTAGACCCGAACCTAACGAAAAACCCTTAAGAAACCTCGATGTGAAGTGAAAGCTGCAACACCTCAAACCCGAGGCTCCAAAACCAGAAAAAAAAAAAAAGCGCATCCTGACCTAAGCCTGCATCCTAGACCCTTCTACCTCAACCCCAAAAACATTAGAGAATCCCAGCACAGTCCACATCAAAAAAAGGCAGACTGAACCATCAACCAGGTTTTGTTGTCTACTCCGGCCACTGCCCGGGCTCCACACACCTGGAGCCCGGCCACAGAAACCGGCCCACGGAGTTCCTGGCGGTGAGGATCTTTGGATTTAGGTGCCTTCGTGTCCGAAGGCCTTCGGGCCTTAGGGTTTGAGGAGCTTTTGGCTTTTGCAGCCTCTTGGGTCTGTAAACCGTCTGGGGTTTAGGAAGGCAACCGGAGCCATTTTATTGGGGTGTCTTGGTCTAGCTGCTAGCTCAGCAGAAGAAAGTTCTGATGAGCGTCGGGAGTAGCAGTCATCCAGCCGATCCGCTCACAGGTACCCCGCACTCCATGCATCTTCATGCCGGGGCTGATCTGCGCGTGGCGTGCCGGCTTGCCGATGCTTCTCTGTCCGACAACCATCACAACCGGCGAGTGATTAAACCGACACATGGTGTACAATCCAACGTGTCTGCATAAGAAGGGGGTGAACAGAGCAGACGCTTTGCATCTAGGAAAATAAAGGGTTCGTGGGAGCGTAGTGTTCTCGCAACAAACGGATCTTGTCCATGATCTCTTCCCACTCCTCATTTTTTGTGGATTTCAACTCTGAGTTCAAGCTGCCCTATCCCATCTCATGTGGATCCTGGGGCTCAACTTTTCGTTTGGATCCATTTGGAAGAGATGGCGAACAAGCTCTTCCATGATGGCGTTGCCGCCTGTATCTTATTCCTCTTGAGCAATCGTCTGGTGAGCCTGTTCAGAGGCCGGACACATGAGCTTCCTCTCCGCAGCGCGTTGCTGTTTGATGGCATTGACCACCCCAACCACAGAAAACCTGCGTGGTCATCGTGTCCGTCTTTGGCGTATGCAGTCCATCATGCCGAAAAGAAAATAACAGCATATAGCAGAATCAAGTGAAACCTCGCAAACCCGCACCTCAAAACAGGAAGCCCACACCGGCCGGGCCAGGCCGGGCCTCTTTGGGTTCCATCCGGGCGCCGGCTGCATGTGGCCCTACCTCGAGCGTGCTTCCCCCAATACATTCTCCATTCTGACAGCAGCCCGCAACCAGAGGTGATGATTGAGGATGAAGATGATGATGAAGATGGCAATGATGCTCAGGATGACACTACTATCTCCTTTTTCTACTACGACGACGAGGACGACGCCGCAAGCTATGACGACTGTGACTATGACTACGACTGTGACGCCGCTAAGACTGCGACCACGACACCGTCCACCACCACCACCACCACCACCACCACCATCGGTGCTTGTACTAGCCGCAATACGAGTAGAACTTGTTTCGCCATTGTAGGAGAAAAATTGATCTTGCGCTTCAATCCATCAACTGGGCTCGAAGCCAAGACTACTCGTGCCCCTGGAGGAAGGCCTTTGCTCAGCACCTGTGCCATGCTGCAGGATTGAAGGCTTATTGGGGAATCTGTCTCAATTCCATTTGTCATTAAACAGAAAGTCCTGTCCGCAACCCGGTGACGAACTCCCAGAATCACACTACTAGCTGCCACATTATGCCACATAGCACTGTGCACAACACCACCCGCCACCCACTCACCCGCAACACTTACACGCACCACGCACCATGCACCACACACCACGCCCCACTCACCACCCACCTGCCAGCTGGCACCAGGCACCAGCCACTAGCTACCAGCTACTAGCTACTACTTGCTGGGTCACAACCCACAGCACCATCAATACTACTATCAGCATTACCACGACGATTACCAGCGCGAAGCACCACCACCGCCGCCCCCGCAGTCGCCATCCCCACCATCACCATCATCTTCTTCTTCAACAGCTGCCTCATCATGCTGTCTTAACACTAAAGTTCATTCTCCGAGTGGTGGGCGGTGGGTCATGGGTGGTGGCGATAACTGCCTTCGTGATCTCATCATCAAAACACGACGACGAGGAGAAGGACATTTCGAATACCTTTCCTGTCAGTAACTAGTGTAACTAGTGCTATTAGCTGCTCTTAATCTTGCTGTTGCCACCCAAGTGGTAGTTTAGACTTGCATCATTCATCGCCGTGCACCCATCGCCGTGCACCCTGCTGCATCGAGTGTGGCATGGCAATTAAATAGCAGCGACTATGTACGATTCAGTCTCCAGCGATAGTACACTCGACTAGGTACACGAAGACACGGCAGCGACGAGGTTGCAACAATTCAGACCCGAAGCCACAGCCGCGCGCGTTGCCTCGAAATCCAGTGATCGCTCAGCATCGCCCACTCCAACAAAGTGTACAACCTCCGCAGACGCAATTTTGCAGACTGGAGCATGTGGGATGGAAAGGACCAGCAGTGATAATCGGTAATGTTGTCAACAATGATCTTGATGCATCTTGATGCCATCACTTCATCCTAAGCCTTGGGTTCAGGAACGAGTACCGGTATCAGAGTAGCCGGCTGCTTTAGCTCATCCCGAGTAGTATGTGCTGCATCGTTAAAAGTTCATGGTCAGCGTCTTGGCAGTTGCCAACCAAATCTTAACTCCCCCTCGACGTGCTACCTCATAGATTGTATGAGCCTCGACCTGTGCGTTGTGCCCAATTCTGGTGAGCGCCTTCCTCGAACTGCATCTTTCAGACCAACGTGAACGACAAGTATGCATGTCAAACAAGAGCAAGATGGAGCCAGCAGAAACTGGAAAGAACATGGTCATGGCCGACTGAGCGACAATGGTTCCAACGAGAAGCCTCCGGGCGGAGTCCAATATCATCCAGTGCCGCTCGCACTGTGGCGGCACATGAAGCTCCACGAACCTTTGGGGCACTTCGGGGCTGCTCTTTGAACCTTTCGGGTCTGGGGCTCAGGGTCGTGTCGTCAAGTGTATGTCGGAACCCAGCGTCTCAGGCTTCGGGGTTTCTGTTAGGAATGCAGTTGGCGAAGAATGCAAAAGGATTTCATGGTCGGTCGAGGGTTCAAGGATCTCGTGGCTCTCGAGCACACAACTCCCAAAGCAAGCAATGGTAGTCGGCTTACGCAGCGTGGATGCGCAGCACTTACAACGTAGGGTCGGATGCAGGATCGCCTGAGTTGCTTGCCCAGCTTTGAGGATCTGTTTGCTTGTTTCCGGGACCCAAGATTACTGATTACAAATCTGGACGACAAGGTTTTGGCGAAGATGTGGTTCTGCTGGCGCTCATTCCATCCACTGACCACGAAATAGCAATAACGAGGATGCTCAGGAAGATGAAGATCATCATGATCATCATCATGAGGAGGGGGAGCAGGAGGAGGAAGTGTGCTGGTCCGCTTGTGCAAGCGAACTGCATATGGGTTCTTGGGCCACAAGCCTTAATCGACAGCCCATGAGCCCCTGAACCCACAAACTATCCCGACTCCTTCAAGTGTAGGTGTGCCGACCGTCTTTGGCAGCAGGAAGTCTGCCTGCACTGAGGGCCAAAACCGAGGTTTGGGGGGTCCAAAAGTTACAGATCTGCTGTACGCATATATGTATAAATACACACACTTATTCTCTGTATTTTGTATTTTGTATGTCGGTTGTCTCTACCGCAAGTACTCTGAAGCCTCAACCTTTCCACAGCAACGTTGTGCTGAAAGTAAGCAGGTTTGCCTCGCAGAGGATGTTTATGTCAACAAGGCCGGAACAGCAATGATGCGCTGTTGACCGGCATCAGCTTCGCCTCTGATCGCCTCTGCACCCGGTGCAAAAGCCTGTCTGCAGCGGTCTGGCACTACGGAGTGGTCTGTGAAGTTCAGGACCCACGAAGGCATAATCGGGCAGTTCACCCCTCGGCATCAGAAGGAGCACGTCGCAGGAACAAGGTGAGAGCTGATTTCCCGTTCTGGTAAACGAGGACCTGTGAAGGTTTATCAAGACCGCCACACACCAACATGATGTTGATGCCAAGCATGAGCACATGGCTCGAAAAGCCACTTCATCTGCGTATCTGCATGGACGGCCTGCGTGTATTCAGCCCATATGGAAGGAGGCTCTTCGCCCTCAATCTTGCGCAGGTGCTCAGCAGCTTCCTTTGGATTGGTTGCTGCGGCATCCGGAAATGCTTAGAGGCGAAGTTGCTGCTGGTCAAAAACATACGAGTAGGAGCACGTTGCATCAATGCTACGCAGGCCTTGTTGACATAAACATTCTCTCCATGGCCACCCTGCCTACTTTAAGCAAGGCCGGTGTGGGAAAATCGGGGCTTCTTCGTGCCAGCGGTAGAGCCAGCAGCACCGAGGATTAACAAGAATGGTCAGTGCCATCCAGAAGAAGTGCACAAAATACAATTATACATGGAAGCACATGCATATACATATATATATACATACATACATACATACATACATTCATACATACATGCATATTAGCCACCATAATCTACTTTGTTTAATCTTTCAGAGAATATGTTGCTCATTATTAAATTGTCAGTGTCATGATCTATACCGCCATAGGACTCTTAAAGACATCCAGAAAATCTGTTAGTTCAACCTTGGTTTAAAACTCAGTGGTGGACCCTCATACTTTGGAGGGTTGCAGCAGTTATGCTTAACGTAGCTGGTGTTAATCCTGCAGCTGTAGCTATCATTGTTGCCAGTCTGATTTCCGGGGCAAGTGCTCAAATGGAATGGTCCTGGCACTGCTACTCATACTGGGATATTGCTGTCACGGTATTCTGCCGACGACCGCTGGCTGCAGTAGTACTTCCATCTGCCCCCATTGCCGCTGCCGGGGCGACGATGAGGAAGCGGAAAACGAGGAGGAGGAGGAGGAGGAGACGACAGCTCTGACGGTGAACCCTTATAGGTTTTTTGCTGCAACATCCAGCCTCAGCCATCGGCCCCGGCAAAGGCAGGGGTCCAGTGGGTCTAAGTCTAGTGGTGTAGTCGCATCCAGCAAAGAAGCATGGTGGCTTCGGAGGCTCACTCCAAAGGGCTTTGAAGGCTTCGGGTTCAAGGCTTGGTATGGTCTGGGAGCGATACGCAGAGGCGTTTCAGGGCGTTGGGCTACAAGGGGTTTCCGTTTCCACCATGTCTTGGACCTTTCAGACCTTGAGATCAGCTGGCCAATCGATCTTCGAAGCAACTTACTGCACACTTACAGCCGACATGCTGCAATGCATCATGCCCGAGACCGTGTGCGAAACTCCGCCTACAATCAGCTGCTCCGTACCACAGCGCTGCCCTTTCTGTTGTGCACCGCCCGTATCCGCTGAGGCCACTTCGTGGCCACTGCATCGTCCACGGCTCACACCGCTGCGGGCGCGCGCCCGGCAGCAAAACTTCATGACAAAACTTTTAAAATGCCGTCAAGCGGCTTGCAGGTCAGCATGCTACTAGCACTCGGCTGATGCATGAGACCATAGCAATCGAGAAGCGGCTACCTGCTGCCTTTTCTGATCCAGCTTATTCTCACAAGCTTCAGCGTTGCATTCTGGGCAGGTAGCTGCAGCTCAGCGTTAAAGTTAAAAGAATGCATTTTAGCACATGCGATGCCTCTTGGAGTGAGGCAACGTTAAACTGGCTCGACATGGCGATACGCCCTGTACATAAGGTCTCGTACTGTCTAGTCGCTATGGGAAGATCGATGACGGTGACGCCGGCTGCCGTTGTCGTCCTTGAAGATGCGGCGGCGGTTGCCATCATCGTCATCGCCCTTGAAGATGCGACGGCGGGTGCCATCGTCGTCCTTGAAGATGCGGCGCCGGGAGCCGTCATCATCGTCACCCTTGCGACGACGG